CTCCCACTGCTGGATCGCCACTGAACTCATGGGTGTATTCCCTTTTTCCCCTTTCCTCTCTTTAACTCAACTTTTTCTTCCTCTTTTTTTATTTTTCGGCTTGACCCTCATGGCCTCCGCTGGATCCTCCCCTGATCCCCGACCACATGAATAATCACAATCACTTAATGGCCCGTCACATAGTTGCGAATAGACCTAACGTATGCCGAGCGTTCTCATTTTTTTCCTAAGTCCCGATACGCCCAAATACGCTCAATTTTTTTGGCAAATAACATTTTTGCGTGAAAGACGAACGCCCAACGAATGAGAAACGAATGCTGATCGTACAGTTCTAGCGTCCATTTAACGAATGACAGCGCGTTCGCCCAACGAATGTTCAGTGAACACAACGAATGCCCAGCGAATGTCACACGTATGCCTAACGTATTGACGCCTTGTAAACGTTGATGTAGGTCGGTTTACGCTGAGTGTTCGCTGGCCATTCGTTACTCATTAGTTAGACAAACGCTATGAATACGTTATGCATTTGCTATGGCAACGTTTCAGATGGGATTGAACGTTGTTTGGACGAACAACGGACGAACAACAAACGAACAGAAAACGTAAACCCAACGTGCGAAACGTTCAAACAACGAATGCTCACCGTATACATAGCGTATGTAGCAGAACGTTGTCATACGTTCAAAATTTTGAACATGTCCAAAAATTAAAATCGACCCCAGCGTACCTCAGCGTACCCCTAACGAACAGCTAACGAATACAACGTATGCCAAACGTATTACGAACGTGTCACGAATGAATGTCAACTTAACGAACGTAAACCAATATTTTGATAAACGTCAGCATACGTTGGCTCTATACGCTACAGTGTGACAAGGGCTTTAACAGACTGGAGTACGGCGAAAAACAAAGAAATAGTATATACAGAATCAGAAAGAAAAATAAAAGAATCTATATGGATAAGGAAAAACAAGGAAAACATGAACCGTAATGAGAAAATAATGAAATAACAAATATATAATGTTATTATTTTACATACTTGCGTCCATTGTGGCCTAAATGTTATGCTATGTTTCTCTATTTCCTGTTTTTATTTGGAATTTTGGTCAATATACTATAGTCTGTTTATTATACTGTCGGCATAATGTGGGAACGACTATTAATCTCCGTTCTCATTACAAACTGTTTATTACTATCAATGTATAGGCCTACCCAATTTTAATTACTCTCATTATAATCCGCATTGTTATTCTTTAACTCCTCCCACTACAGTGGTTATGTGTGTCCACTTTTTGCTAGTTTTTTCATGTACCTTGATAAAGACCTGAGGATAGGTCGAACTATTGGTTTTCTCCAATAAAGTGTTTCTGAAGTCTATACATGGTATTCGTTTCCTATATCCTTTTGTTATCGTACCGAAACACACGTGGAACCTCACTACTCACTATGT